TAAAGAACCCGCGTATCTAACAGTAGTTCCGCATTACATTAATTGATTTTCACGCGAGTTTTATTTATTTTTATACCGTGTATTCTCCGTGTAAATTCGTGCACCGAACCGTGACGCCCGTACCGTTTCGGTTCGGTACGAATACATGTACCGTTCCACCCCTATTCTCTAGATGCTACATTGAAGAAGTGGCCGGCAGCCAGCCGAGGGCAGATAGGCACATCTATCAATTCAAAGCTCACGGAGCTGAGAAGATCAACAAGATAAATTGGGGTTTTTTTTCTGTACAGTTGTCTTATTTTTGTTCTTGTACTATTTGATTGTTCTCAAGTAAATAAATAATTTAAATTTCTACATTTTGGGCTATTATTTATGTTGCCTAGTAGCTATGGATATTAATAATTACTAATATATAGGTAAACATATAGCTGCATATGTACGTGCATATATGTACCTATATAGGCACATATATGCACATATATATGCACCTATATAGGTACATATATGCACATATATAGGTACACATATGCACCTATATAGGTACATATATGCACCTATATAGGTACATATATGCACATATATATGTACATATATGCACCTATATAGGTACATATATGCACACATATATGCACCTATATATGTACATATATGTACACATATATGTACCTATATATGGATGTATATATGTACACATATATGCACACATATATGTACATGTATGTGGATATATGTACATATAATATAAGAAAACGGCCAATTTTATATATGTCACATATATTGAAATCCTATATCAAAACCTATATTAAAACATATATGTTTATATAGGTTCTTTCCATGTGGGGCAGCGAATGGGGAACACGGTAAAGAGAGTGAGGCAGAGCAGTTCCATTGAGTAGAGCGGTGCTGAGGCAGAGGGCAGGAGGAGAGGGACGGGAATGTTACGTTGTAGGTTCGGTAGACTCGTTATTCTCCGCTTTTCTACATGATTAGCTGAAACTGCTTCACCACGCTGCTGCATCGTGTTGTCAGACAGGAGTACCGCACGTGCACATTTGCCACAGAACTCACATGTCCGTAGTTTAGAGGGGCAAGTCCTACCAGCGTACTGAGATGTCAAATTGCGTACTTGCAACGCAAAATGCATACATATTTGCAGGTTTCTGTCACGTGTAGGGATGGGAATCGAGAACCGGTTCTTCTTCAGAACCGGTTCCCATTGAACCAATTCCCTGGAACCGTTAGTATGCCTGCTTAACGATTCCGCTCGTTGCAAATGTGTCATGACGTCACACACGCACTGAGTTATTTTGATTCAGAACGCAGCAAACATGGCATCGAGACAGAAGCGCTCGTTTGGTTATATTTCACGCGAAAAGATGACAATATATGAGGTGCCGTCTAGGGCTTAAATCAAACTTCATTCACCCACACATATATGAAACACTTGCATACACGTATACTAAGTAGTCAAACATACATACTGCTGAATGCTCAAACAAATACATATGAAATGCACAACAACACACCTAAAGTCACTCAGGCATACACTCAAATTCTACACACACGAGATGCGCGAAACTCTCCAGGCACATACTCATAAAGACGCGCGCGCGCACACACACACAAACTCAAATGAAACGCACGCGCACACAAACTCTCCACGCACATACTCATATGAGACGCGAGCACACACACACTCAATGGGTCTCATTCATGAAACATTCGTAAATATACGAGTAAATATGCGAGTGATTTGCGCGTAAAGAGACCTTCCCGAAAACTCTTCTCCTGATTCACAAATACTTCGTAAACGCCAGATGTGATAGTGAAATGTGTGTGTGTGTGTTAATGAATTCCAATCAGTCGTAAATGGGATGCGCGTGCACGTTCATTCTCAATTACCATAAATCCCGCCCATTAAATCCGACTGACAACTATACAGGTCCTTCTAAAAAAAATTGCATATTGTGATAAAGTTAATTATTTTCCATAATGTAATGATAAAAATTAAACTTTCATATATTTTAGATTCATTGCACACCAACTGAAATATTTCAGGTCTTTTATTGTTTTAATACTGATGATTTTGGCATACAGCTCATGAAAACCCCAAATTCCTGTCTCAAAAAATTAGCATATCATGAAAAGGGTCTCTAAACGAGCTATTAACCTAATCATCTGAATCAACTAATTAACTCTAAACACCTGCAAAAGATTCCTGAGGCTTTTAAAAACTCCCAGCCTGTTTCATTACTCAAAACCGCAATCATGGGTAAGACTGCCGACCTGACTGCTGTCCAGAAGGCCATCATTGACACCCTCAAGCAAGAGGGTAACACAGAAAGAAATTTCTGAACAAATAGGCTGTTCCCAGAGTGCTGTATCAAGGCACCTCAGTGGGAAGTCTGTGGGAAGGAAAAAGTGTGGAAAAAAACGCTGCACAACGAGAAGAGGTGACCGGACCCTGAGGAAGATTGTGGAGAAGGACCGATTCCAGACCTTGGGGGACCTGCGGAAGCAGTGGACTGAGTCTGGAGTAGAAACATCCAGAGCCACCGTGCACAGGCGTGTGCAGGAAATGGGATACAGGTGCTGCATTCCCCAGGTCAAGCCACTTTTAAACCAGAAACAGCGGCAGAAGCGCCTGACCTGGGCTACAGAGAAGCAGCACTGGACTGTTGCTCAGTTTTGCATGTCATTCGGAAATCAAGGTGCCAGAGTCTGGAGGAAGACTTGGGGAGAAAGAAATGCCAAAATGCCTGAAGTCCAGTGTCAAGTACCCACAGTCAGTGATGGTCTGGGGTGCCATGTCAGCTGCTGGTGTTGGTGCACTGTGTTTTATCAAGGGCAGGGTCAATGCAGCTAGCTATCAGGAGATTTTGGAGCACTTCATGCTTCCATCTGCTGAAAAGCTTTATGGAGATGAAGATTTCATTTTTCAGCACGACCTGGCACCTGCTCACAGTGCCAAAACCACTGGTAAATGGTTTACTGACCATGGTATTACTGTGCTCAATTGGCCTGCCAACTCTCCTGACCTGAACCCCATAGAGAATCTGTGGGATATTGTGAAGAGAAATTTGAGAGACGCAAGACCCAACACTCTGGATGAGCTTAAGGCCGCTATCGAAGCATCCTGGCCCTCCATAACACCTCAGCAGTGCCACAGGCTGATTGCCTCCATGCCACGCCGCATTGAAGCAGTCATTTCTGCAAAAGGATTCCCGACCAAGTATTGACTATTGAGTGCATAACTGAACATAATTATTTGAAGGTTGACTTTTTTTTTTTGTATTAAAAACACTTCTTTTATTGGTCGGATGAAATATGCTATTTTTTTTAGACAGGAATTTTGGGTTTTCATGAGCTGTATGCCAAAATCATCAGTATTAAAACAATAAAAGACCTGAAATATTTCAGTTGGTGTGCAATGAATATATGAAAGTTTAATTTTTATCATTACATTATGGAAAATAATGAACTTTATCACAATATGCTAATTTTTTGAGAAGGACCTGTATACGGGCATCATATTATGACATGAATGCGAATGAAAAAAAAAAATCTCAGATGCAGAAATTGAAGTTTTATTATCAGAAGTTCATTCAAAACGCCACATTTTATTTTCAAGCGTACATAGTGGCGTATCGGGTCCTAAAAAAAAGGAAGCTTGGCAGCATATTACAGATGCAGTTAATGGAGTTTCATTTGTTAATCGAACATTCCCAGAAGTGAGAAGAAAATGGTTCGACATTAAGCTTGAGAGCAAAAAACGAATTAGTTCACTTCGGAAACATAGTATTCAAACTGGAGAAGGACCACCATCGCAGATGCTATTACTGGCTCTCATAATAAGAAAAACCGTATGTAATTACCATATATAATATTTTTTCAAAATGATGTGCAAATATGTACCCGATTAAGCTGAATTAAAATGCAGCCTTATTAATGACCAAAACGTTCGGGTGTTAAGCGCACTATTTACGCGTGGCTGGGAGCAGGTGTAGATTTCTTGTGTACCAACTAACATTTGGAAAATACGAACATTTTAATGAATCCGAAAATTTACGCCAGAACCACTTTACACACGATTTACACAAAAATTCGTTCTGCTCGTGTTTCATGAATGAGACCCAATGAGAGTATGGCGGCGCCTCTTAACAATATGGTCACTTGCAACACCTGTAAAATTTCCATTTCGTCAAAGGGGGGGACCTCCAATATGCAGAAACATATGGCCACACAGCATGAACAGACTTTAGTCCCATGAAACTTAAACTGGAATGTCATTATGTCACTGTTTCTGTCACTGCGACTTCACGAACAGGTGAACACACGCACGCACGCACACATCACTTTTGAAGTAAAATTGAGGATGCAGTGCATGTAATGCATCGAGATATCGAATTGAACTGAATCAATGACATGATAATCGTAATCGAACCGAACCGTGAGACCAGTGTAGGTTCACACCCCTAATACTCTGTGCTGTGTCAGCGAGTTAATAATAATTAACAAACAAATAAGTTATAAGTTCAATAAGTTAATACAAACAAACAAATTTGTACTTATTCCCTCACCCAATGAGAATCGATAAGAGAATAGATAAGGAATCGAATCGATAAGCAATATCGATAATGGAATCGGAATCGTTAAATTCTTATCAATTCCCATCCCTACGTGGGGCGCTGTGCTGGCTACATGCAGAAATGAAAGCAGACAAGCGCTTCAGCCCAATATTACCCGTTGCAGGCAGCTGAAAACAGACATTCACGCGTAAAATGTTTAGCCCGTTTGCGTTCATCCACAAGGAGGGAAAATTATTTCCCAGGACAACACATACGTTTCCAGGACATTTAACTTTTTTCCCCATTTCCATGTGTTTTCCAGGACTGGAAAATTGGTCTTTCATTTTCACAAAATATTCACCAATACAGATGATTTTTTTAGAGCAAATATTCGTTGAATGAAACTCATCTTCGCTCATCATCTGCTCATTGTTGTAGATCAGATAGCTCACTTTGACAATTTTGGACAATGCTTCTTTACATGAGTCTGTCGAGCACTTGATGAGCTGAAACTCTTTCCACATGAAGGGCACTGGTACGGCTTCTCTCCAGTGTGCACTCGCTCATGTATTTTCAGCTGTCCTAACTGATTGAAACTCTTGTCACAATGTGAACACTTGTGCGGTTTTTCTCCAGTATGGATTCTTTGGTGAATTTTCAAGTCGCCGGCTCTGCCGAAACTATTCCCACACTCAGAGCACACATGAGATTTCACTCCAGTATGAACTTTGTGGTGCATTTTAAAACAGTCCAGACGTGAAAAAGTCTTTCCACAAACAGAACAAATGTAAGGCCTCTCATTTGCATGAACGTTCATGTGTTGTTTTAAACGTGATCCCAAAATAAATGCTTTACCGCACTGATCACATATAAATGGCTTTATTCCAGCATGAGAGCGCAGATGATACGTAAGGCTCTCTGACTGTGTGAAATTCTTCCCACACTGACTGCATGTGAAAGGTGTCGCTCCAGTGTGAATTCTATAGTGATGCTTAAGTTTTCCTTTTAATGTGAAACTCTTCCCGCATTGATCACATTTGTAAGGCTTCTCTCCAGTGTGAATTCTCATGTGACAATTAAGGTTTCCTCTAAGTGTGAATCCCTTCCCACAGTGAGAGCATCTGTAAGGCTTCTCTCCGGTGTGACTTCGCATGTGATCATTCAGGAGTGCTTTACGAATGAAACTCTTTCCACACTGCTCGCATAAATAAGGGTTTTCTCCTGTGTGAACTCTCATGTGATCATTGAGAAGTCCTTTACGTCTGAAACTCTTTCCACACTGATTACAGCTGTAAGGTTTCGCTCCAATATGAATTTCCTTGTGAAGCTTAAGGTCTCCCTCGTTAGAGAAACTCTTTCCACATTGAAGGCATGCGAAAGGGTTCTCTCCGGTGTGGATTCTCATGTGATCATTCAAGAGGGCTTTACGCACAAAACTCTCTCCACACTGATCACATGTGAAGGGCTCCAACCCCAAGTGAATTCGTATGTGGTCAACGAGGAGTTGTTTACGAAGGAAACTCTTTCCACACTGATTGCATGTGAAAGAATGTTGCACCTCTTTTCTTTGAGATCTTTTTTTCAAAAATTGAACATAATAATTCACAAAAGTCAAAGATTTTCCTTCAGGTTTAAAATTGCGAGGTTCCGGATACTGGTGTTTCTCCTCCACTTCATTTATTTCTTGACATTCCTCTTTCACCTCCATCAGACCTAAAGTGAACACATTAAATTGTCAAAATTTAATTCAAGAGACAAATGGCAAACAGAATGAAATAAGAGTAACTGCCAAATTAATTATTTAGTTTTAATTTTCATGTTAATCAGTGGTTGAAGTAGGTCGGCAGTACCGGCACTTCACTGTACAGGCATTTCTATATTTTAATCTGTAGCGTAACCTCACTTTTTCTTGTGTATTAGCGCTTCAACGCGATTTTAACCGAGGTCTGACACTTGTGCATGTTCACCCAGAAACTTAATATAGAGGTCTTTATTAAAGCATTCATCAGCATTACTCTTGAGCCCCAAACTACATTTGAGTATCATAAGGTAAGATGCATGTTTTTGTGCTGCCGCCATGTAGTGAAATCGTCCCGGGTTACGTATGTAACCCTAGTTCCCCGAAGGGACGGACGCTGCGTGTAATCGCAGTGGGAACGCCCTCAGCGTGACGCGTCTGAAGCATGAATGAAATCAGTCAATGGAGAGAATGAGCGTACGGCGAGTGATGTCATCGACCAGGAAGCTATAAATATCCCCTGAGCACACAATACGCCAGCTTAAAAGTTACTGAAGCAGCGACCCAAGGGGATGCCGAGAGTATGGCAGGACACGCAGCGACCGTCCCTTCGGGGAACTAGGGTTACATACGTAACCCGGGACGTTACCCTTCAGGGACTACCGCTGCGTGTAATCGCAGTGGGAATGCAATACCCACATCCCCATACGACCAAATCCCCGTCGTGTGTCATTAGGAGACCTGAGCCCCGGGAGTGGAGCTAAGATCGAGGGAATAAAATCTAACGAAAGTGTGCGGTGAGGACCAGCCTGCCACATCACAAACGTCCTGAAGAGAAGCTCCTGAAAGCAGAGCTGTAGAAGCAGCCATACTCCGGGTGGAATGAGCCCTTACAGCCAAAGGTGAAGGCTGATGGGCCGAACCATAAGCAAGTGAGATGGCCTCGACCACCCACTTGCTCATCCTTTGCCTAGATGCAGGACACCCTTTCTTAGGTGACCCAAACAGACGAACAGTTGTTCCGATCTCCTCCACAGGGCAGCTCTGTGGACGTAAGCATCTAAAACCCAAACTGGGCACAGCAAATTTAGTTTCTCCTGGTCTGGCGTCAGAAAAGGCGGAGGACAGAAAACCTGCAGAACTATAGGTCTAACAGAAACAGTTGGAACCTTAGGAACATAACCTGGTCTCGGAAAGAGAAAGGCCTTAACCAACCAGGAGCAAATTCCAGGCACGAGGGAGCCACCGAAAGTGCTTGAATATCTCCAATTCTTTTTAGAGATGAGATAGCGAGAAGAAGGATAGTCTTTAGAGTAAGAAACTTTTCCGAAACTTCCTCGATGGGCTCGAAAGGAGCAAGGGAGAGACCTTCTAAGATGATGGCCAGATCCCAAGCTGGTACCCTCGTGCGAACTGCAGGCCTCAGCCTCAAGGTGCCACGAAGGAAGCGAGACATAAGTGGGTGTTTCCCGAGGGAACCTCCACTTGAAGGGGTGTGGTAAGCAGCTAAGGCCGCCACATACACCTCCAGTGTGGAGTGGGATAACCCTGTGGAGAGACGGTCCTGCAGGAAATCCAGCACTGTACCAACCAGGCAGTTAACTGGGTCCTGCTGGCGCTCTCCACACCAAGAGGTGAAAAGTTTCCACCTCGCGGCATATAACTTCCTCGTGGAGGGAGCTCTGGATCGGAGGATGGTCTCAAGGACCTCAGCCGAGAGACCAGAATCTATGAGCTGGGCCCCCTCAGAGGCCAAGCCCACAGCCTCCATAGCTCTGGACGGGGGTGAAGGATCGACCCACTCGCCTGAGAGAGCAGATCTCTCCTGATCGGTATCTCTAGGGGAGAGCCGTCGAGGAGAGACACTAGGTCCGCAAACCATACCCGGGCCGGCCAGAACGGGGCTATTAGCAGGAGACTGAGCCCGTCCCGGCGAACCCTCTCCAGAACTCCTGGGAGCAGAGCGATCGGGGGAAAAGCGTACAAGCGTGACCTCGGCCACGGATGTACCATCGCATCCAACCCCAGCGGGGCTGGATGGCTGAGAGAGAACCACAGCGGGCAGTGTGATGTTTCTCGAGAAGCAAATAGGTCTACCTCGGCACGACCGAAATGTTTCCATAGGAGTTCCTGTTGGATATCAGATGTTAAATGTATCCAAAGTTCGTTGGAGTTGCAGAAACTTGATGGCGTGTCTGATTAAAACACATGGACAAATACCAGTCCTTTGCTCTCTTTTATTTTAAGTTCAGGATGCTTAAGTCTTCACATGACATGAAGTTCAATAATTCACATGGAACTGATACACATGATGCCAATGGACAGATGTTAATGGATGGACAGGATGAACCGGATGTACAAGATGGTCTTTAGTCACTACAAACAATACAATAAAGAAAATCAAGCTCAGATAATTCAACAATATACATATCATACATATACTCAATCCAAACAATTCAAATAAACAAATTCAAACAATACAATTGGTAAAACAAACTTACTTAACTCATCCTAAGGAAAGGACTCAGAGGACATGGTTGGGTGTCCATTCAAACACCCACACCTCACCAATGCAAAAGAAACAAAGGAAGGAAATGAGGCCTACTTATAGACCTTGACCAAGGGGTGTATGGGTAATGTAGTGCACTAAAGTTAGTATTGTAGTTTGCTTGGAATTCTGGGATATGTAGTACGTAAATATAAGGAGAAACAAAAAGAGAAAGAAATTAAAAGGCCAAATTCACAACAGCCGCCCCCAAATACAATCATGTATTTGCTATTACTCATTTATTTCAGGTAATGGAATCAACTTAGCAACTGGGCGTACATACATCTTGCCATTAATATCAATCTCAGCTACTCTGACACGCCCATCCTGACTAGGTAAGAGGCGTACTACCCTGCCAATGGGCCATGATGCTCTTGGAAGTTGAGAATCAATAACTAACACGACAGCAGAGTCATTTAGATTAGGTTGTTCTCGATTCCATTTGTGACGCAGCTGCTGACCTGGTAAATAATATCGGATAAATGATGTCCAAAACTGGTCAACGAGGGCCTGGCTGTGGCGCCAAGATCTGCGGCCAAGGAGCTTAGTATTGGCATAAGTCACCTGGGGTAGAGAAGAATCTCGCCGCCCCATGAGGAGGAGATTTGGAGTGATGGGGTCGAGGTCTGAAATGTTTGAAGAGGCATAACCAAGTGGCTTCGAATTTAACACTCCTTCAACTTCTGTCAGAACGGTCCGTAGGACTTCCTCTGATACTGTTTGACCGCCAAGTACCACCCGCAGAGCTGTTTTAACCGAACGGACCTCTCTTTCCCATGACCCCCCAAAATGAGGAGCTTGTGGTGGATTAAACTTGAATTTAATCTGCTGACTTTCCAACTTGACTTGTAACTCAGTGGTAAGGTTCTGAAAAGCTTCCTTTAACTCTCTTGCAGCTCCACGGAAATTGCTTCCTTGATCACAAAGAATCTCATATGGCCTACCTCTCCTGGATATGAAGCGACGTAGGGCCATTAGAAAGCTGTCCACATCTAAACTGCTCAACAAATCAAGATGCAAACATCGAGTGGTCTGACACTTAAACAGAATGCCCCATCTCTTCTCTGTTCTACGGCCAATATTAACGTGGAAGGGACCGAAACAGTCCATTCCAGTGGACCAAAAGGGAGGTTTGAACAACCGGAGCTTGGAGAGTGGAAGATCTGACATTTGAGGGATAGATGGCTTAGCTCTCCACTTCCTACATTGCAAACAAGACCACTGATGTTTTTTTACGGCTTGTCTCCCTCGAATTATCCAGTAATTGCGCCGAAGTTCTGAAAAAACTCTCTCTGGACCAGGATGGAAAAGTTTCTCGTCACAGTCCTTAATAATTAAATGGGATAATGGATGTTTGGGGTCGAGGACGATTGGATGAACCATTCCAGGTTCCATATCCTCTACACGTCTGAGCTTACCACCCACTACAATAAGTCCTGTTTCTTCATTGAATTCAGGAGAAAGTGTAAGGAGACAATTTTGAGGATCAATGGGCCTTCCTTTCTTTAAACACTGGTACTCAGAGGGAAAACTTTGTTGCTGGGCTTGTCTCAAAAGGAGGTTTTGGACTGAAGAGGCGTCACAGGGGTCCTCCCTATGTTGTCGCAGTAACACGCTTGTTGCGAACTGTAACTCTGACCATGATTTAAAACAGGCAGGATCTGGGAGTACGACATCATCCAATTGTGTTAACCCACAAAAGAGTGGTTTGCGAAGCTCAGGATCAGGACTAGCAGGTCTAGATACTAGATTTCTGGGCCATTCATGTGGAGGAAATTTCAGAAACGTTGGACCTTGTCGCCATCTATGATCAGGTTTGGCTAGCTCAACAAGAGTTTTGCCTCTCGTAATGTCGTCTGCTGGATTCTGTGCAGAAGGAATATATCTCCAAGAAGAGGGATCAGTGAGTTCCAATATTTCAGTGACTCTATTAGCTACAAAAACTTTGTAACGGCAGGAGAGGGAATGCAGCCAAGACAAGACAGTTGTCGAATCGGACCATAGGACAATATTTGTCAAAGGATGAGTCAATTCATTCTGCAGGAGTTTACAAAGCTGTGCACCTGTTAGAGCAGCGCAAAGTTCAAGACGAGGGATGGATATTTGCCTTTTGGGGGCAACTCGAGATCTTGCCATGATGAAAGTAGTATGTACCACACCCTTGTCAGTTTCCATTCGCAAATAGGCTACGGACCCGTATGCGCTTTCTGAGGCGTCGCAAAAAATATGCAACTCTCTGGATGTGATTTGATTGGAAGGTAAAGTTAAATAACAACGAGGAAGCTGTATCAATGACAGGTCAGGGAGCTCGGTTTCCCAAGCCTTCCAGGCCTGTTGAATAGGATTTGGCATAAGGGGATCATCCCAGCCCCGGGACTTCATCCAGCATTGTTGTATGATGACTTTAGCTCGCGTTGTAAAGGGGGTTATATAACCCAATGGGTCATACTGACTGGCG